CCATGGGTCTCCAATGTGTGCCTGGAATAAGTATTGTTTTTAAAAGTCTATGAAGCGTTTTTTCAACATGTTTGTTTTGTTTTGTCACATTTTGTACTATCTGAGGTACAAATTGCACAATTTCTCATTGAACAAATCTGATTGGTTGACAAATATCTGAAATTCGTGTTTTGATGAAGGAGTTGTTGGTGGGTCCTGAGGCTAGACCAGTTGGTCTACAGTATGTGTGTGTCGCCAGCACCAACAGATTTCATGCCTCTGCGTGTTTCTCACTTCTGTGATTGTCTGCCTCGCCCTTCTTCTTTTCTCCTGTCCCTGATTACCCTCACCTTCCCAGAATAGGAAAAAAAAGAAACAGAAAGCCTTTAGTGTCATAATACAATACAATGTTCACCCTGGAGACTTTAAAGTGCTGCACATTCAGATATCCACATTCCAACATGCATTCAAGTAAAGAGACGTTGAAACTGTATATTTTACGGCAGGTAAGGAAAAATATCTTTCTGTATATATTACACATTTAAAATGTGATTATTGCACCAGAGAAGTTGTCTTTGTGTTCCTCATTTTTATGTCTGGCTTTGGGTCCTCTGTCTTTGCATCACTTTGTTGCCTGAACTCTACACGTAGTTCCAACAGATTTTAGAATTGGCTGAATCAATGTGAGTATCTGTCGCTCCATAGACAACAACCCTGCTCTACATCTATAGGTGTATTTATTATTTACATGAACACCATCATGAATGAACAGCACCTGCTTCTTTTGGGTTTGGCTTATCTGCAATAGTATTCTGCCTTCCACCCTCAGTGGTTGGAGAAGAGCGTGGTTGTCTGATGTTGTGGTTTTGCTGATGCTGCACACTCCTCCTCCTCCTCCTCCTCTTCCTCCTCCTCCTCCTCCTGCAAACCGTGAATGAAACTGGGGCACCGAGTGTTGATCAGACTTTATTCATTCTGACATGAATGTTACAAATGTTTAGATGCTCAGTTTGGGTTTGGGTCTGCTTCCACTTGTCTCCACGGACAACACCAACATGAAGCTTACATTCAATATCTTTATTAGAAGAGAAGGGGGCAAATAATGCAAAATACCTCAAATAGGTTTGTGTTTGTCATCATGACTTGTGATTCCTGCATTGTGTTTGTTTGTGTGTGTGTGTGTGTGTGGATGCGGGGGGGGGGGGGGGGGGGGGCTCTGTGGGCTTTGTTGTTATCTTCTTCTATGCAACCTCCACCGTCTTCTAAATCTGGAACACAGAGATGCTGAGGCTCTGAATCAGCAGTTATACGATTATTATCTTCGTCCTGCAGAAGGCACTGATGAGGTTTCTGACGTTGACATCTGGAGAGTCCCACATTATTATCTCTACAGAACGCAGAGGAAACTGAGAGTACAAGGTTAACGCATCATGTAAGACATTTCTGTCTCATAAATGTTCATAATTAAAAGTGAATCTGTAGCCACTGGTTTGAGCGTCAGGGTTGAAAAACTTGAGGATAACTAAGAGTGGCTTTGTTACTGCTGCTTTTATTCCCTTCTTTTCTGTGTTTTAAGATTGAAAAGGACGTCTCAGCTCTTGTTCAGAGACATCTTTTTGTTCTACTTGTCTTTTAGTTTGAACACCTGCGGGCCCTTTTCAGGTGCTTCACCTTTTTTCATTTCTGAAAATAACACCTGATATTATGTTGCTTCCCTTTTCCTCTCACAAGCTGGATCATATCAAGCTTTATTTTTTTTTTTTTAAAACAACAGTTTCCATGACCTCCATGTTCAGCATAAATAGCTTCCTGAACAAAACTTTGTCTCCAGTTGATGCACATATTTGCCTGGTTTCTAAGAAAACAGATGACTCATTCTCACTTCATGCACGACATCCTCGGCACTTTTTAAGATCATGATGCTGTGGCTTTTGAAAAACACAGCATGTCCTTCTTTTTACTAAAGAAAAGTTGAATGCCTGAGCGCTTAGACCTTTCGTAAAGCTTAATTTAAAATGCTCCGATGTTTCATACAAACAAGCTGCACTTGTCCTTCTGTGACAAATAGCTTTATTTCTGCAAAGCTAACATCCGTCCAGAGACTTGAAGCGAGAGTCAGTAAGCTGACTTGATGGCTTTCCAATTTTAAGATCCACAAACTGCTCTTCTTTGTTTGATGTACCTGAAAATCCAACATGTTTGATATCAAATCATCTAGTGTATAACCTCTTTATTTTTCTTGTTCTGTGTTTCTGGGCTCGCTGGTCCACTTGCGGATGTGTCTCTTTAAAATGTAAAATGTGTGGAACAACAGCAAGCTCTGTTTTCTAAGTTAATGAAGCGTTACTGAAAAATAACACGCTCAAAAAATGATTTCAAGCGGCTACTTTCAACATAATTTCACAAAACACGAGTAGCCATGGCATTTTTTTTTTTACTGTCTTGACTTAATAACCAAAATATATGTTTTGTTTTTCTGTTACCATGTGAGCAGGTTGCTTTAATTCCTTCCCTTGTTTCTTTTCACACTTTATGATCGGGTGGCCCCGCCATTATTAGTCTCACTTGTCCCTGATTGCCCCCCAGTCTTCCCCTGTTTCTTTGACAGATTTTTTATAACCACCCGTCTCTCTGTGGGTGTTTCCTCGCGGCTCTGCTTGTACATGCTGAACTTCCCCATCAAGTAAGCCATCAAGTGTCCTAGAGTCTAAGGGTAAGCCTTTCCTTTCCTTTTTTTAATTTGCCTTTCATGCTAAACTAATCTCATAGTCTGCATCTGGGTCCTCTGTCTTTGAACTGTAACCTCATGTTTTTTTAGGGTTAAGACCGGTGACGCCAGATAACAGATTCCCACTCTGTCCAAAATGTGAAATTTAAGAGCAAAGAGCAAAAACATGCTGCATGAGAGAAAATGACATCATCAGGCTGCAGCCACAAGAGGTCGCTGCAGCTCAGGTCCACATCCTGCTCTGAGGCAGGATGTGGATTGAGGTCTGAGGAACATGCAGCACGATGACACGCAGGATTTAAAAGAGTCAGAGGCTGTGAGCACAGCTGAATGTTTGAATAGATGTGGGCTAAATCATCATGTGGATCCACCCAGCCACAAAGTTTAGATTACAAACACATTTTTTCTCGCACATGTGAACCACACACAAACACACACACACACACACCAGGCCAGCCTACACAATACACATGTGGTGATGTGTGGGTGATGGCACGAGCTGCCACATAAATTATACCCTTTTGTACTCACACAAATAGACTGAGATTCCCTGTACGGTCATGCCCGTGTTGTTTTAGCCTGTTAATCTGTTAGTGTTGTCTTTCACATGAACAAGCCTGAAACTGTAAACAGACCGGAGCTTGTAGAGTTCCTTTCTAGTCCTCTGACGACTCAAAGCTCTGCAGGGTGTGCAGAGAGCTGCTGCCAGGTCAAGACTACTCATACTCGCCTCCCTCCACTGGCTCCCTGTTGATTTTACACTTCATTTAAAATCATATAACTTGTTCTAAGTCACTCCATGGTTAAGCTCCCTCCGATTTATCAGACTTTTTAGTCCCTTTTACTCCAGCACGACTCAGGTCCTCTGTGCAGTCTCTCCTGGTCGTCCCTCGGGCTCAGTGGAAACTCAGGGGTGACCACGCCTTTTCAGTTGCAGGCCTCCGTCTGTGGAACCGATAGCCTCCACAAATCAGGTGCAAACTCATCACATCCGTTCAAAGCACAGCTCAATATCCACCTTTGCCTCCCTTGTCCCCTGAAATTTGTTAAAACATCTTTAATGTGTTGTTCAAATGTGATTATTTTATTCACTGTTATTATGTTTGTCTGCGATCTCCATCATTTTTAATTACATCTTTGTTATCTGTTTTATTAGTCCTTGTCTTTAAGGCACTTTGGTCAGCTGAGGCTGTTTTTAAAATGTGCAATAAAAATAAACATGACTTGACTTTTTACACTGCAGCTCACATTTTGAGATTAAAGTGTTCATCAGTTTTAAGTAATCTGCTCATATAAGGAAACTATGACATGTTGCTGCAGGAGCTGGGGATCAAACCACCGACTCTCCAGTTAAGAGATGACCGACTACAATCCACCACTGAGCCACAGCCTCTCCACAGCTGCCATGACCATCAAAACAAACCATGGCTGAACTGTTCAGAGAGTTTACTACATAAATAAGTCAAGATCTTCAGAAACACAGGGAAACTGATATAAGTAAAGTATATGGATGCAGGTCCGCTTAGGGCTTCCATATTGACATATGGTCTATGTCACAGATTCTCAACTGGTCTAGCCTCAGGACCTACAACCAACTCTTTAAAGAAAAATCACACAAATCATGAGAGAAACAAAAAAAGCATGTTTCGATGCACACATTCGCGACCTACTGAAAATGGCTTGGTGACCAACTTTTGGGTCCCGACCCACCAGTTGAGAACCACTGGTCTACATAGGCTAAATACATCATGCTGGTGTAATTCCGCCTCCAGGCCATTTGATGATCTAAGTGGACCTGACCTGTCACTGCGTCCTGACACTTCAACACCCTGAAGAAGTTGGGTTTTGTAGTTTATGATTTTTACCTGATTAAGTTAAGCCCTTTAACTAAACTTCATTGGCTGTAGCCTCAAGACAGCCCGACTTCTGTAGTTTACTTTTAATCTACAAAAAAGACAGACGAGCACCTGGTGTTTACCTGGAGTTCACCACCATGACACTAAAAGCAGCCGGTATCCTTCCAAGATTTTAGAATGTCCCTTTCTGGGCCTTCATAGACACAAAAATATTTCACATTTTTATTCAATCAGTTGACTGAGATACAAAATAATCACCTCTGGACAAATCGGCGCACTTCCTCTCCTGTCTCTTTGGAGGATTAGGAATCTGTTGAATTTATGAATTAACTTGGTGTCTCTCTTCAAACATGTGGTTAACTTTCCTCCTCCTCCTGTTGATCTGTAAAAGCCCCCACAGTCACTGTACGCAAACCCCTCCCGCTCCTGCTCTGGGCGTGCGTCAGGAGCGCAGGTGAGATATCGTCTCCATTCCCAAACAGCGCGTCTCCCCGAGTGGTGGTCCGCAGTGGATAATAAGAAGACGGTTATCAGATCAGGAAGTTGAACAAGACGCGAGTTTACCTGCGCTCAGGTGCGTTTTTTTAAAAAATCTGACCGTCCAGGAGTGGCAGAAGAAAAGACACAGTGAGGGCTCAAAGAGAGAGAAAAAAGAGCGCACAGACAGAAACAACCGGGAAAAGTCACGGATGCAACCGTCTTTATTGACTCAGTGAGAAACCGGAGCTGCTCATCAGATCATCAAACTGTTTAAACGCTTTAAGACCAAGAGAGGAGACATCCAGAAGAACCATGAGGAAATCTTCATATCCAGGTAAGTGCTGCTCTTAAACCGCTTTACGTGTTTTCATTCAAGATCTAATCTGACTGGCGGTGACGCCTGATTGTAGGAAAAGGCTTCAACTCGCAAAGTTTCGGTGTGGAGGGAGGAACAAGTGGCATAGAGTCAGGAAAATGTTTATTAGTATAAACAATAAGTAAGTTGTAATCACTGTTACTGCCCAGATGTGATCATTAAATTCTTCTTAAATTGGGAAAAGGCCCACACATGGATCTGTGGGTGTGGTTTTCCTCTCTCTTGAGGTGATGTGTGACTGCAGTGACATCATGACAGAGAGAGGGGGGAAACTCCTCTGCAAGTCTTTAGGGGAAAAGTGTGACTTTGAAGAACATTAAGAATGAGGAAGTCAAAGATAGAGTGAAACTAAAACAGAAAACATGGAGTGCACACAGATTATGCACTATACTCTTCTCCCCAATCATAAAACAGTTAGCTGGTGAATCTGAACTGATTGACAGTTTTAGGGCGCAGTTCTCCACTCCTCCCGTCTATAACCCTCTAAATGAATGACTTGATTTAAACATATGATTGTGAGGTTTGGTTTATTATGGATGGATCGGATTGCGAAATCTAACTGGGCACAGAGGTCATCTACACTGACAGTAAACAGCTTATCAAGGATCTCTGGCAGACAGAAATGTGATGAACTGATAGTGCAGGTGAAGTCTAATTTAAGTGCCTTGATTTAAGACGCCTATGCAGAGAAATAGTTGCTGCCTTTAAGTTTGAATCTGATTGAATGATACTCATCCTAGTCCACACGGCCTGCCTTAGACTACACAAGTTTTGGGCCAACATAACTGTGATTCAGCACGCTCCAAAAATCAGAGGAGGAATCCAGTTTGGGCTCATTCATGGCACAGATGTTTAGCCCAGATAATTCTGTGAAATCATTAAAAATCTTAAACCTACCAAACAGTTTTGAGACTCGCCAGGTTCAGCCCAGATGATATCAAACATGTCTGCTGTATAAGATTTAAAATGTGGGTTATTATGTCAGCACTTCGTGGAGTGTGATCACAGCCAATAAAGCCCCTTTCACACTGCACTCCTGAACATGATCAAGATGGGATGCATGTGTAAGAGCAAACAGCAACCCCATTTTTCTTCTTCTTTTTCTGCAAGCCTCCTGGTACAAAGTCTGCAAGAAGTTTGGGTTAGTCGATGTTTGAATGCAGCTGGTAATTGTGTGTAAAATTTTTCACACTGAGCAGAGTTTTGCTGCTTTTACACTCTTTTTTGCTCGCTGCAGTTTTGCCATGATACGGAAAATAAGATCTGCTAGCTGACATTAAACCAGACACAGTGGTAAAATGTAGAATATGACAAAGCTTTATGATAAGGTAGTAACTAAAGTCCTTCATTTTACACTGATGTGACATTAAGCGGTGAAACTTAAGGTAAGTTAACGGTACTCTGTTGAGCTTCACTCAAATCAAAGTCCTGATACATATTTCAGGGTGGAATCTATCACGGAGAACGCACTGCTGTCACCAAACGCCCGGTAAATCCCTCTGCTCCTCCTCATCCTCCACGGTATCTCACCTTCCCAAACAATCACCATGACAACTGTATTTTGAGGAGGACTTAACACCTACTAGAAGTTCAGTGTAAGATTTCACTTGGGGACTATTTCAGATTGTGCAAAACCTTAAATGTTAGCAAAGGTGTGTAAACCCTGTCTGTCAAACTAGTCTCTATTTGAACTCACAAAGAGCTGGTGCAACCCGGTACAAGAGGGAAGTGCCTGTTTGAAAAGAGCCAATGAGAGATCACTTGAGATCATGAAGGATCACAGAGGTGGCTCCCTCTGGCACACACAATTTTGCTAATTTTCCTGTGAGTTATTCACCGTATACAAATCTTGTTGTGTGTGCTGTGCACGTTCAAACATTTGCAAGAAGAACATCTATTTTGAGATTAGGTAGAATTTTTAAAACTCCTGCCTTAAACTGTGTTTTCACCCACATCAAGCTGTACACTGACTCCTGCATCATCCTTTTCTCCTTCCTCACTCCTTCCCTTGCTTCTCTTCTCCTCTAACTCTTCCTCTCCCATCCCTCGCTCCCTCTTTACCTTTCCAGCACTGCTTCCTATCACTCACATCATCTTCTGAGTCTTGTCACCCTCCCTCCCCCCTTTAAGCTCCGGCTCAGCCCAAGAGTACACAACTCGAAACCTGCGGAATGCCGGCTTTCCCAGCTCCTCTTCCCCGAGTCTTTGTGTGATGGAGCGTCCCGACGGTTTTCCAATCGAAGCCAGGCACATGTTGGGTCATGCAGCCTCTCCTCCTCCGCCTGTGTGTGTGTGTGTGTGTGTGTGTGTGTGTGTGTGTGTGTGTGTGTGTGTGTGTGTTCCCCCTCTGCTGTGCGACGTGAGTGGAGCTGTCACATTCTTTGTCAGAGCCTCACTCGGGAAAAGTCGAAATAACAAAGTGTGTGTGTAGTATGATGTGTGTGTGTGTGTGTTCTATAATGTGTAGGGGTGTTTAGACAACCATCAGAGATGAGGGTGGGGTGGGGGGTATATCTGAGAGAGGAAGGTCAGTGTGTGTATGTTGTGTATGCAAATCCCCGTGCTTACACACCAACAAACAGACTCATTGTGAATCTTGCACATCTTGAGTTTAAGCTTAAATATATATATGTGTGTGTGTGTGTGTGTGTGTGTGTGTGTGTGTGTGTGTGTGTTTTGGTGTGACTGGCATTGCATGTGTCTGTGTTCACTCATGCAACCCCCTCGCTGCTGAACCCTGCTCTCGGAGCCAATCCCTGCCTTGCACACCACTCCCTCAATGCGTCTGGATCAATGAGTAACCTGCTTGAATAACAGCCCCATCTCAAACACACACACACAGTCATTACTCTCCACACACACACTTCTTCTGGTATGTGCTTTTATGTCCTGCTCAAAACACAAACACACACCTTATTCCCCCGTCTTGCCCGTGTGTGACAGTTGCCTCATCCTGCTCTGCATTACAGCTTTTAGTCTGTTTATTCTGGAGGACGAGCGTCGCTTTGATTCTGAGCCCGGAGCTTTTGTTAGATGGGAACTTGAAAGTCGAGCTATAAACTGTGTTGAGACATATTTTGCCCTGTCATCATGCAGAACATGCCAAAGGACGCTCCAACCCTCAATTTGGCTTCCTAGAGGCCTGTGAATAACGGACTATTAACGTATTAGAACACGTGGACCTGCAGGTGCCGCACTCTGAAATATGGTGTCATAGATTTAAAGGTTTGAGTTCCAGACGTCAAACAAAACCAGAAAAAAAAGGTAGACGGGATGAGTTAACGCCTGCTGTACATTTAATATTAGACTGGTTATGAATAAAAACACTGAAAAAAATGCATCAGGATTTCAAATGGACTGACTTGATGTTGTATTGTTCACAAAACCAAATTTGGAAATTATTTTTTAAGTTGTTCATTCATGTGTTCGCCAGCGACCTGCAGGAATACAAACACACAGACAGAAGGGCAAAAACACCAAAGCAGGCTCTGCTGGCGGCACCTAAATGTACCAAAAAACAAACGTAAAAAAACTGAACCTATAGGAAGACAGAAGTCGATACAAACTAACGAGAAGCTGAAGCTTCAGCGGGTAGAATGGAAAAATTCTACATCCAAATATCTGAGTGTCCAGATCTCACAAACTCAGAGAAGTGTGAGCTCAGCGCTGGGAGGAGACTGATCTTTGTTGGGTTACATGATGATCTTACCTGGTGATTCCGTCCCATAGTTTGTTATTTCAGAAGACAAATTCAACAATTTCCACTGTAAATGCTAAGGTGGACCTTTACCTTTCCTTTTTTCATAGATCTTATAACGGGTGTAACAGCAGTAAATTAGGGGGCGTGGCTTAGTGAACTTCTTTATTAATCACTTACCCTGATGTGTACATTTAGGAACATTATAAACTTTGTTGTATCACAGTGTTTTCCGCACAGTGTTATTGATGCACAGATTTGTAGGCGACCTCCAGTCGGCGTCCTGCGTCCTGTCTCTGCTGTGTGTCGTCCTCCCCTCTCAGCTGTGTGGAGCCGGCTCTGAAGTGTCCACTCTGCTCTGTGTTTATTATCTGCAGACAAGAATGCAGCTCTGTGATGCTGCTGCTGCTGGGGGTGTCAACTGATACAACACACGGTCTGTACTGTAGGCCCGAGGCCAGGAGAGAGCCTGTAAAAAGATAATAGCAGGCTCACAGAGGTTCTGATGTGTGGGGGAACATGTGCACTCACATCTAGATGTGGGTATTAGAGTGATAAAGTGCATGCTCAGACACATCATTACAATTAGCAGCCTGGACTGAAGTACTAAACTCACTATTAATGACTTTAATCTGAAGCTCATTGCACTGTCATCTGATCAACAAATTAACCAGACAGTATAGTGTACAGATAATGCAGATGTCCACCCTGAAGTCAAACATTGGTTTATGGACTTCCTTTTGAAGCCTTGAGTTTGTCTTTTTTAAACACCGCAATGTGGAGCCAGAGGTCGCGATGTTTGGATGAGACAGTGGGACATTCTTCTTTGAGAGGGCAGCAGACCTAAGTCGTATATATTTATTCAACCGAAGAAGCTAAGGGAGCATGGGACACCTTCAGCTTGCTTGGACACATCTCCGTCTGGAGTGTAAGCAGTGTGGAAACGGCACAAATCAGGCTTCTGAATAACATCAAAAACGGGGTGAAGACGGAATTAGCTTCAGTGAAAGCTAGCAGACCGCTAGCAGCAGATACCTGTCACTCAAAGAGGCAGCACCTTGATAAGGTTAAAATTCACCTCCAGTGCAGGTGTCATAAAAAGATAAACATTCAAAGACATCTAAACTATGTTTTTTAAGCTCTAAACATGATGAATTCAGCTGCACAGTTTAAACATGGGGTCCTAATGGGGAGTAACTGGCTTTAGAAGCCAGCCTCTAGTGGCCACTCTTGAAACTGCAGCTTTTTTTTTTTTTTTACA